AACAAACGAGCTATGTGTAAAAAATCGTGTAACTCCTTTTGTTAGAGAAATTTTGAACTTACAAAATAAACCTAGTGGTCGCCCAGAGGATGTTGGATAATGACGAGCTTAATGTCTGAATGCGTAGGAAAGAAGAATTCAGCATTGAAGCGGATCCGACTCAACCTACTATAGAGCTTGCATCGACTTTTGGTAATAGCAAAACAATATTAGATCATTTGCGGCATAGAGCAACACAGGAGGGGAGAAGCTATAACGTTATTTTCCGATACCAAACTGTCATCTTTTGCGGGGGAAAATTTACGTCACGTACTTTCTCAGACTCTCAGACAAAAATAATTGTCTGTCGCTACGAAACTAACACATAACAATTAAAATAATAAATTAACAATTTTACACACCCATAGATACATTCTGTGTCATAACTCAATCATGCTACAACCATAAATAGCTGCACCATGGCTCTACCACATTTAAAAGTTTGGTAAATTATCATATGCCGTTGCTACTTCATGACACAACAGATGCTAGCAAAATTGGCTGGGCTAAATAATTGTAAGAGATCCTTTCTCCAGACCTTGCACCAATAGGATTCCCCTCTTTTCGAAGTATAAGACAACTTTTTGATAGACGAAATAAATTTCAAAGAAACAGTTCAAAGAAATCCTTTAAAGAGTTCATCAATTATTGGGCAGCGAACTTCGGTAGCAAAAGAATGGTTAAACTGCCTATTAAGTGGAAAGAATGTGTTATATGCATTTACATTATTTACATGAGCACAATATTTGTTACCCAAGAAATATATGCCATAAACCCTGGATTTTTACTGTCAGGTGAGCATCCGCCAAGACATGGTGTGTAGTAAGGTGCAAGGGCCAGATAAAAGGACTTAAAGGTGGTGAAATTCTTCCGGTGCATACGGACATAAACATGGTACCTATGTACCTCTCTATCTATTAGACTTCTCACCCTTATAATTGATATTTTTAAATATTTCAATAAAATTAATTTGAATCACATTACGTTAACTTCAGAGTAATAATATCCTCCAGACTGAATTTCGGTCACGGTGGCAGGCCACAACGAAGACTAGCCATCTGCGCAGGATGGGATTATAGTGCTCAAGTGTGTGCGTGCGTGCACTCTCTAGTCTACTCTAGAATATAGTTCGATAGGTAAACCGGTACGACCGGAAAGAGATCAGGTATGGCAAAAACGGTTAACGTGCTTTCCGAGGCACGGTGATGAAATACCACCAACTTCCTGGCTCCCGGCAGCTACGGAGAATTTCTTCAATTTTTGAATCATAATGCATGATATATCTTAAGCACTGTGTTCAGTGATGAAATGTCTCGTTACCAGTGAAAATGGTCTCCGGTCATCCTTCCTCACCACACTAAACACAACTACGTTATTTTATACTATGATAATTGCTTTTTATGCTTATATATTCAGCTGCAGCCATAACATAAGAAAATAATAATTTACTTATTTGTATGAAACAAAAATGGTTTTCTCAAACAGACGAGCAAACTTTTAAATTATAATTAATAAGTAACATTGTGACTTACATAGTAGAGGATAACCATGATATAGTATTATTTGTTGATGATACTTCATTCATTTTATTTATTTATTTATGCTTTCATGCACAAAAAAGTACATATGGTGGACTTAATGCCATAGGGCATTCTCTCCCAGTCAACCATATAATTTTCAAATTAAAACGACAGTTATTAAATTAAGACGAAGTAAATAATGCTATAGCTAAGTTATTCAATTGGTTTAATGTTAATAATTTGCATTTAAATGGAACTAAAACTAAATGTATGAAATTCTTAACTCCGAATGGCAAATATGTTAATACTAATGTAATTTTAAATGGGGAAGAATTGAGTCTTGTTAATACCACCACTTTTCTTGGAATCACACTAGACGCAAAGCTCATTGGCCCTCATATATTAAAACTAGCTAGCAGACATAGTTCTGCAGCATATGTTGTAAAAAATATTAGAACTCTGACCAGTATAATGATTTATTATATTTACGCGAACACTACACATTGATTAAAACTACTTTTACGGATTTTATCGCGTTTATTTTACTATTATTTTTAATTCCCGACGTGATGGAAAGCACCCGAAACGTCGGGAATTAAAAATAATAGTAAAATAAACGGGATAAAATCCGTAAAAGTAGTTTTAATCAACTCTTACCAGTGTTGAAATAGCTAGAATAGTTTACTTCATCTACTTCCATAGCATTATGTCGTATAGTCTTTTACTATGGGGACACTCGACTGACACTGAAATTATATTTGTTTTACAGAAGAGTGTCATTAGAGCAATATAATATGATTTAATACCAAAAGAGTCGCTCAGACAAAAATTTAAGGAAATTAATATAACTCTGGCCTCTCAATACATTTATTAAAATGTAATGTACGTACACAAAAATAAAAGTAGTTTTGCAAAAATAAGTGATATTCATTATGTAAATACTAGAAAAAAACACAAGCTAGTAGTATTAGTTACTCGACTCCACCGAGTCAGTAATTCATTTTTGGGACGATGTATACGCTTTTACAACAAAATCCCAGAATATATACAAAATTGACATACACAACGTTCAAAAACTTTATGTTCAACTCAAATTTCATAAACTAAGTTTGTATAAAAAGGGTTATTATAATATTAAGGTATTTATGGATGATAATAACCCCTGGGAAGGGTGATCGCTGCCAAGCTATTTCTAATTTGTTTTGTGTTGTTAATTGTAACATTGATGACTGTAAGCTATTATTTGAAAATAGAAAAGTCCCGCTGGGTTTCTTGCTGGTTCTTCCCAGGACTGAGGTTTTTTTTTTGCAAACCAGTGGTAAATGAAAACAGTGACTTTCAACAAGTATTTTTATAATCTATATTGAATAAAAAAGTTTCTGTTTCCGTTTCAACACTATATACACAGCTCAGATTGCACAAGAAACGTGTAGAATAAGCTAAGCTCAGTAGCACTGAAAATACTATTTTATTTTATTTTACTGTTTTAAAAAAGTAACAAACTCTAGAACGTTTTTAATATCGAGCAGTTTGTAGGAACCTCGAAAGAAACCAATTACTTCGTGTTTGACATACATTTTAGATATTATTGGTGTTTGCTTAAACGTTTTACTAAACTTGTGTAGTAATGGTATAACATTTGTACTATTTCAGTTTTTTTTTATTTGTTTACTTTAGAACTAAAACTTTTGTAACAATCTTTGAAAATTCCATTAAAAGACAAAGCATGTATAATTTATAACCTGTCATAAACTTTTGTTCAATAATACATATGTATTTGAGGATCATATCACACTACATAATCAACGTAGGCTTTTATAGATAAAATAAAGGAAAGACACAGTAATATTTAGCTTTATTAGGTAGAGCGATTATTAGTGGTCCGCGTACATAATTTAATAACTTGAACTGTCACTTAAAGGGCTTCTAATTTGCTGATAAAATTAAATACTAAGTCATTAGGTGCCCAAAATAAATATATATCAAATATTTGAAGCTCTTCTTTCACGAAGGTACATAACATTAATAGATCAAAAAATTATACGTATATAGTAATAATATTAACGCGTAATATTAGAGGCTTAAATGAAAAACTACTAATTTACAAGCTTTTTTCTTTAATATTTTTTACCTATACCAATACCAAGTATGTGAGAACAGGGATATGTATTTATGTTACGATGACGGAAAGCATCTAAAAGCTATTGAAGCCACATCTTAATATCTATACATTATTTACAAAAAAATCAGGCTGCTCTGACCTAGAATGAAACAAATCGATTTTAGCTTAAAATATTAACATTTACATTCAACCCTACTTCGCTTTATTTACAGGCTATTTTACGAGATCAGTCTATGTTTATTATACTTTCTTAACACACTCTAGAACAGCACTATTACTCTAAGTATTTTACTTAACACTAAGATATTTACAAAAGATATTATTTTAACTAATACTGTATGTAATTTAATAGCGTTGAAATAACACATAGCTTCTTGATTATATACTACTTATTAAGCAACAGTTAACGTAGCAATACTACATTTATTCATGTACCAAATTTGAATTGAATAAATTATCTTACGTACGATCGGTACTTCATTCTGGCTTTATATTATTTTTTCTTTCCTATATCGAAATGAAATTTGAAACCAATGAATTATTCAAAGACCCAACTTTTTTTAAGTTTCCGTAGATATTCAAACACTGTAGTTGCGAAATAGTAGTCATTTTAATTTATATTACATAATAAATAACAACAAATGTATAACTAATAGAAAACTAGTCTTTATTAGGAATTCACAAGTTACTTCACTTTATAAACCATGTATATTTCTAAAGAGTAAGAATATGATAGTGTTCTTATTTCCTACAACATCACGAAGCATAAAATTATTTACTTAATAATTTTAATACAGAAATTAATTTATTAACTCCTATTCTTTCCATTTAGTTTATATATTTATCGGCGCAGTTGATATAACTTCTAAAGCTAGTAATAAGCGCCATTTTAGGATCTACTTACGCTATATACAATAATTCGTAAAGTGCATGTAATTAGATAAGTAGAATAGATAATAGATAGAAATAATAATAAATAAATACGGCCATTTTATAATGATAATTAAATTAAACAAAAGATTTTCTAAAGCAAAAATGAAATTTATAAGTTAAGAAGTAAAGAACTTACAGTAATAATTCATTAGCAAAGCAAATACTTATTATTTGAAGTGACAGTAGCCTAATGGCAGGGCGCGGACCGCAAACTCAAAAAGGTCGTGAGTTCGAATCCGCCATTTGTCTACTGGCGTGAACCACTCGTAACACAAGCAATTTAACTTACCACGAGTTGTTTAAGGGTTATATTAGTAATGTTTATAGCATTGTTAATATTATTTAAAAAAAAAACTTATTCATCTTGCATTACTTAATTACATTATTTAAAGAAACCTCCAAGATGTAACAACATGGAATATGAATATGAATAAGGATAATACCCTAAAATAGTAAGAGTCCTTCCAAGCTGCTCTGTTATAATCTTGTAATCTGAAATCTGAATAAAAATTATAATTAGAGTAGGATTAGGAATCTGACGGACTAATCACGAATCTCAAAAGCAACCGCAGCACAAAATAAGTCAAGAGAGTCCAAATAATCAAGAGCTATACAAGCATCCTACTATTTCTGAGGGTGTGGTCAACAAGAAGTCCATCGTTCTTCTCCTACACTAACCGGTGGTTTTTTATAGTATAAGAGTGACAAACAAGCACAGTCCACCTGATGGTAAAAGGATTCTATAGCCCATAAACGTCTACATTTATCTATAGTAATATTTTCGATTAAGACTTAAAGTGCAGATGCGTTGTCACTCCTGAGGATTCAGATGGAATGTCTCGTTTCCAATAAAAAGAGTCTTCGGGTCTCCACACTCACAATACGAAACACAGCAGCATTTAGCTGCTATTTTACGTCGGTAATCTCTGAGACATGTCCTTAATATATTTTTAATTTATCAGACAGGCAAATCTCCTCTTCCCATGTGCTGGTACTTGAAATCGCATTTAAATATTTCAATATTGCCGACTGGGATTGAACTTGAGTTACTCGCGTATAATTAAATTTAATAGCCCCAAGCTATTTTATATATTTTAGCCCAAGCTTGCCTTGAGCCACGACGGCTTCATTAGACTTCGTATATATCGCATATACGACGAACATCTAGAGACGAAGTCCAATGAAAGTGTAAGTTCTAGGAAGCTGTCAAAGTTCACTCAAATATTACCGATATCAGCTGTATTATTGAATTTTATCAATATTAACCTTTGTAATGTTTAACAACTTCTAGTCATATAACTAGAAAATATTACTTAAATGATTATTAAAACAAAAACAGACGTATTTAATAAGTTTATTTTAGTTCTGTAATTAATTACTTTACATGCTCTGTGACGAAGTTTAATTACTACGCCAGCTTTCGCATTATTATAATTGTGAGAAAGATATCAGTTTCGTAGATCGTATTTAGATTTATTGGGTGTACGTGAAAGAACAGAACTTGCCCTTTATAAGGTATGCCTGATATAGTTTTAGCATTAAGATCAAAGGTCGAATTAATTAGATACATAAATAGTAATAATAAGACAATTGAAATTAATTACTTCCAAAACCTATGTCGCCATATTTTAACACATACGCATTAAGCGGTCGCTTGTGTATGCTGCCGTGTTATAAACATACGCAATGCACAATGATATCTAATGTTTCTCATTACACATTACATGGCGAGTTTGTCAACTATCTATCTATATATTATATATAAAAATACCAGAACCACCAAACCGTTGAGTACGATATTTTCCATCTAAAATACATCAAATGGTAAGTTACACGGCTATCGAAGTTGCTGGTACCACAACTACTCGGCAAAGATATATACTTAAACAATCACAGCAAATCAGGATCCGGAAACCAATAATTCGTGATTCACATATTATATCCAAATATTTATTGGATCTAGCTGATACTCAAACTTAGATAAACTTACTAGTCACAAGTTATATTCAAGTGAGATACTTTGCTGCCGTAGGGCTAGGGGCAAAGGGTCCTTTATTTTATACTAGCTTACACCCGCGACTTCGTTCACCTGGTATGGACCAACATTGAAGACTATCCGTGTGCAAAATTCCATCCAAATCCAACCAGTAGCTTTTGTGAAAACGTAACAAACAAACAAACTTTCACATTTATAACATTATTAGGAAAAACGATACCTGCTGCGTCACACAATACTTAGTAGTAAGTAGCTTTGCTTTATATCTTTCAGTGGGCGATAAGGAACTGTAGACAAAATAGTGTCATCTCATTTTTGCCCCGGGGCCCTTGGTTACATAACTAGAAAACAGGATATAAATATACAAAATTACCTTGTGTACCAAACGGAGTGCTATCCGACGACTTCTCGGCGATTATATTTAATCTTTGAACTACTGTAAACAATTTTAATGTAAATATAGTACTAAATACCAGAAAATAAATAAGTACATATCACTTTAGGCTGGGATAGTTAAAGATGATACCGTTATTATCCACTGCTGGAGGAGGCATCGCTGTGAATAAAAATAAAATATTAACTAATTTTCATTGTCAAGTATTTTTATTACTAATGAACATCAGTACTACTAATGTAAATGTTTAAAAAATTATGTTTTTAAAAAATATTTTAAACCTTGTCAAAATGTACTTAGTGCTTTTTCAACTTCCGATTCAACTACGAAAAATATACATAAGCTTTGTTAGTATGAGTTTTATCTCGGAATTTACAATAGTATTATTTAATATTATTATCATAAAAATCATATGTAACTATTCATTAATTTAAAAATATTACACATACGGAATTTCATTTATATCATGATGTGTTTAACATATAAGTACAGTAGCGATTTAAATTTGCGTGGCGTTAGGAAAGCACAAATTTGATTTTCTCTGTGTTATCACAAATATTCGAACGAATCGATAACAAATGAGCGATTATTAACATTTCTAATATAACTTTTAACTGCGGGGATTATGTAATATTCTCCAATTTTTTCTTTCTATGCCCTGGCCTTGACCTTGATAAATTTATAAGATCTCTTATCCTGCAGATACACCGTTGAACAAAAGTCTATTTTTTAAATACACTTAATTCTCAAAACAACATTATTTCTAGTAAAATAACACAAATTTATACAATAAGGTCAATAACATCATAAAATTTAACTTACGATATAATTTGACTGTTCCTTCACTGTCTCCTAAAGAATTTTTGGAGACACATTTGTACGCTCCGTAATCGGAACTTGTTATTCTGCGTATAGGAAGCTTTAGAATGGTGCGGTACGTTCCAGCGATCTTTTGCGGTTCCAATCCCTTTCCTAAAATTGTGAGTTAACTATAAATATCATGTTTCAACGGTTTTAAAACAAATATATATATATATATATATATATATATATATATATATATATATATATATATATATATATATCATACACTTTTGCGTTGAACCACTTCACATATTCGAACAAACAAATTTGAACATACTACAAATTGGGTATACCAAAGGAGCTTCCCCTTTCGCTCTAAACATTGCAACAATATAAATACAAATTACAAAAATATTAATTATATTGATTGGAGCATCGTTTTAAGCAAATAATACTTGTGCCAGGAGACATCGCTCTTCAAGAGTCAAATGAATAGAAAATGTAAAAATTACTTCAATTATATGAAACAAAATAAAGAATGACGGCTCCGTGGCGTAGTGGCTTAGCAATGAATAGCTGCGCCGGAGGTCGCGGGTTCGAATCCCGCACGGAACAAGTATTTGTATGACCTACAAGTAATTGTTCTGGGTCTGGATGTATGTCCTTGTGAAATTTGTGTTTGTCAAGTGCCCCCACGACACAGGAGAAAATCCTAGTGTGGAGGTAACATTTAAAAAAATAAAACTAAATACCACCTATAATACAACATATTTTTTTCTTTTATAATATATTATATTGGAGTCAAATGATAATTTTCAAACCAACTTGCATATCTGTCAAAAACCTTCAATAGAAAATTTCTTCTTTTTAACCCTTTCCCGGCTTTTCCTTTATATAAAAATTTCGATAAGTAAACTATTATGTCTATTTACTGCAGAAGGAAACCAGAAAAATACGTAACTGGAAGCGAAGCTCGTCCTATGTCTAGAATCTTGCCTTTAGTGTATCCGAATTATTCTTTGAAATGTAGTATAATCGTTTGGGTTCTTTACTTGGAATAACATGTAGTTAGTATAACATGGAATAACATCTTAAATTTTCACAACATATTCGAGATGAGGTTACGATGATAAATTCTAGTTCACTATTAGCGTTATATCAACATTGTTTCTGGTTTGTGTGGTCTTATTAATATTGCAAAAGATATAAATTTTCTTGGACGTGTTAAGCGTAAGAAGATTATTCTTTAACTACTCTACAACATGAGCTAAACCTCATTAGACATATTCGCTAACAGTAGGTAGTTAACGCTCTAGTGAGTACAATGGCAGTATTGATCATCGGAATTTATAAAAAAATGTTGACATTTTAATATATTGGTTATGACCTACTTCTTCGTGAAACGCTGATAGTATTACATTATATTTTTAAAAGCTTTTATTTAACTTGCAATGTAGGTTTGTAATGGTGTTTGTATAAATCTCCTGTTCAATGACCAATGTTAGGGTATTTATATAAATCTCCCGACCAGCTTTTATATCATATAAATAGTGTAATGTAATAAATTAACAAGTTTGCTCTGAAGATTTATAAAAGATTCACAATAGGCAGCACTAGTGGGAGGTACAATGATTTGATTTTATTATTGACAGTAACGTTAAACGTACATTATAAAAATGAAATTAACGGAATATGACATGACATGCAAAATTGAAATTTATAAAAATTCAAGATCTTGTCCGAGATTTAAAACGATGGCTTGCAAGCCGTGGTTAATGTATTTCAGGTTATAAAAATGTGTGCTCGTAGAAAGGTTAGTTATCGGTGACAGTTCGTTTTAGTTGTTGTCAAATATTTAAATTTTTCATATACTCACATATTTAGTTTAAGAATAATTTAAGAATGCATTGTGAATGGTAATGATAAAATGGTTTTAATCGAAATTGATGGTGGTAAATATTAAGCAGCTACGCATGAAATTACTCAATCCTGTCTAAACCTAAATGTCGATTTGAACCTAAAAGTAACCTTATCATATGATGAAGAAAGACATCCCAACTGTGGAAACTCAAAAGCACTGCAAAGAGGAAGGCAATATTGTTAAAGTGATTTTGTTTTAAATATGAAAGATAATGTGACTGAAAAGAGTTATTACTTAAGAGCAGATGTAAAATCTTCTTTCAGAGCAACTGTAATTTATAAAATAATCGTAGCTCTTGATTAATAATAAAGTCCTCCAGATCGAATTTCCGTCACGGCGTCCAACCTCAACGGAGGCTAGCCATCGGCGCAGGACAGGATTATAGCGTCCAATTGTATGCGCAAGCACAGGTGCACTCTCTATTCCTTCACTCTCGTAATCCGATGGGACGGTAAACCAACACGAACGGGAGAGAGATCAGGCGCAGGACCAACGGCTTTACGTGCTTTCCGAGGCACGGGGGTGAGACACCGCAAACTTCCTGTCTCCGGGCAGCTACTTAGAATTTCTTGACAGAAAAACTCAATAATTGATTTTTTGGCCCGACCCGGGATTCGAACCCAGGACCTCATGATTAGTAATCGCACTACTACAACCACTAGACTAACGAGGCAGTCTTGATTATTATCAATAGCAATATTATTAATGCGCAGTATCCTGCACCTACTTCGAATAACTGTTCCCATATCATTGCTGTAGAACAACAAGGCTAGTGATGGGTTCGATTTAATTTAAAGTAGATTTTTCTCTCTTTAGAGCATTTCAATAAAAGCTTGTTTTAAAAATGTTTTTAAAAACTTTTCTTAATTATTTCCTAAATTCAACTTTAAAGAATCGATATTGATATCTCTTAAGGATTGAATATTGTAGGTTGCCGATTTTTCAGTTGGAGTGCATAGTTCAATAAATGTGCCAGCTATCAGCTGTATTTCTTAGATTCAGTGGATTATAGTTATCATCTACTGCTCTTAAGGCTTTCGAAAGATTAATTTCTAATAAGAAGTAAAAGACGACTTCAATTAAACTAAAAAACAAAACAAAATAATTTCATATTTTGAAGTCGGGGCTAAGACATACTTCATAAAAGAATGAAAGCCTTGGCTTCAAAATTTGAAATTATTACATTTCTTTTACCTTTTTGAGTGTACTAAGGACACAATCTCAATGTCATCTGAACAGTTCCGTTAAAAACTGCATTCCCTATTTTGCCAACCTTAGTGGTGGCGTTTTTGCACTAAATTTGTATTGGTATCCTTATTAAATATTTTCTTAAATAATTACCAAAATCGGTTAACATTTTTTTTAATTGTCTAAAAATACGTCAACCCGCTTTCATTACTTGAAAGACTTGCCCATACTCATCACGCTACACTAAGACTGCTGCTCACATTAGTCTGTGAAATTTGCATGAAGTATTTTTGGAATATATCGCCATTTGAAATACAGCTTCGTCATGGTGGTTTTTATGTCTTAGTTATACCTGATATAATAATAATGTCCTCCAGACTGAATTTTGCTCACGGCGGTCAGCCTTAACGGAGACTAGCCATCCGCGCAGTACAAGATTATAATGCCCAAGTATATGTACGAGAACAGGTACACTCTCTATTCCCTCACTCCCATAATCTGATAGATACAGTAATTCGACACGACCGGAAAGGAACCTAAGGGTTTACATGCTTTCCGAGGCACGAGGGTCAAAACACTGCCAACTTCTTGACTCCGGGCGGCTACTGACAATTCTTTGACAGAAAAGGCCAATAAGTGATTTTCATCTGACCCGGGATTCGAACCCAGGACCTCACTATCCGCAACCATGTTTACGACTACTAGACTAACGAGGCAGTCTAATATCTGACATACCCGATATGTAATAACCAACAAACCATAGAATTTAGAACGGATGGTCATGGCAATAGTAGTATCTCTATTACTGCCACGGCCATGTTATTATTAATACACTATTATCACGAGGCTTCTTCTAACCATGGTTTCGAATACTTTATATGATATCTCCGAAATTTTTTTCTGCCATCTGTGTATGCTATATTGTAGAATTTTCCTTAGTTAACGTTTACTATAGTCATTAGATGAAACAATTTAATGACTTATTTGCAGTTGCATGTGATAATCATCCGAATCTGCAGATACTACCATGTTCGACGTGGAACTATTTACAACAGATGATTATGATGACTACATGTGCAACATGATACATTTGATCGTTAACAAAAAAATCGTTTATTTTTAAATCAGTCAATAAAGTAAATATTCGTAACGGTTAACTATTCTTTAATTCATTCTATCTTATCGTATCTCCTCTTATCTACCCGCATTGTCTGATAAACATCTATACAATGCAAAGCGAATAGGTACTAGCCACTTTGACTGCGTCGCCATTAATATTATATAACGCTTCAAATTGAAATTGCACGTGCATTTTACTTACGTCTGATAATAGATTTCGGAACCGATGAATTTGTATTATTGGATTTTGTGTACAATAGATTTGTAACTAATCTGTATTAATGAATAAACATTCAATAACTTAACGAAATCTTTTATATATGGTACTAGCTTTGTTAGTTAACATAATATAATATGTTAACTAACGAAGACGTATTGACTCTTTTACTGTATGATACCGTGTAGTGGCGGTGAAAGAAAATCCACAACTCTATACCGTACCGTAAGTGTCTTAAGAGGGGTTAGAGGGAAATTAAAATACTACTCAAAATAATAATAAAAAAACTGCACCTGTCAACGTGCCTGTAAAGCGTGGCAACTATGACAAAATCTCTCCTGTGAGGCAATCTAAATCGAGGCCTATGTTGAGCAATAGATTTTTATGGGTTTTAATGGATGGATTACTCCCTTTTTTGCCTAGGGTTCCATCTTAGTAAATACCACCTTTTTACCTAGCTATGCCACCAAAATGTATTTCAGTCTGAAGGGTATAAGAAACAGTAAAGACTGAGTCATTCCATCTTAGTCCTTAGACGTGACAACGTACTTGTATCTTTGTTTAAAATTCGCTGCAGTTGTTCATATACTACAACAATCACTTACTATCAGGTGAACGTTTATCTCTTCAATTTTCTAAAAAAAAAAACATAATATTTATAATTCATAATTTACTTTTATTAATGTTTTACTAAAACAATTCCCGTCTAACCGTTAACACAATGTAAAGTCGTGGAGAAGAAATGATATAAATATTTTCTAACCTGTGAAATTAGCAACTTTGTACCCATAAGCAAAGTTTAGAGCGGCCTCCACTAGGTGTTAGGTGGTAGTGTATTGTAGCATTTTGGGGGGAGGCTTATGTTCAGTAGTGAAATTTTTAATGATGTTGATGATAACGATAACGTAGAGCTGTGCGTTCGAGTTCGAGCTGTAACCTCTGAGCTATGCGTTCACTCCACAGAAATCGTTAATTGTAAGTGCTAATTTACCATGCGGTTGACGATGAAAAAAACATAGTGAAAAAACTTGCTGTCTGTAAAATTAAAAATATTAGACAGATATAAAATGATGTGTCAACACGCAATTGTCAATTGCGACAGACTTTTTCTTGATCTAAAATCTATCCCAAGGTAAGACAAAAAGTCTTGCCTACGCATTACAAGTGTTTATACTATTATAGTTTATACTAGCTTGCCAGGCAGACTTTGTTCTGCCCTTTTCGACGATCCTTTATCATGTCCTATTAAAAATCCTTAAATTATCAAAAAAAATTGTGGGTCACTCATGGACAAAAAAACTATCCTATCTCTCAAGTTTGACCAAACTGCACACGGTGTGAAAACTTAATTAAAATCGGTTAGGTAGTTTAGGAGTCCATCGCGGACAAACACCGTGACCCGTAATTTATATATATTAAGATTTGTACCATTGCTATAATTATTATTACCATTGGAGTACACATACCTATAGGTACTATTTCGCCGTTCTCTCTACTCCAATAGCTAACGGGTTTGGGATAAGCTTCAGTTTCACATTCCAGCACTAAGTCGGAACCCAATACAGCGCCGACTAATTGATTTCTAATTGTGATCACGGGTGGATCTAAAAAATAGAAAAGTTATTTTAATTAATGTATAGTTTCAATCAATATGAGCGATTTTAAAATTAACGTTGTGTTACTTACATTCTACTGTGAGCATTATTCTCTTGCTCACCGTAGGCGGGACTCCGTTGGAAGCTATACACAAATATGCACCAGCGTGCTGCCTGTTTACCTTACTTATGTTTAAAACATGGCCTTCTAACGACGTCACTGCAAATAAAGCAAGTAAAATGAGACGCAATTATAGCTTTAAGAAGTTGAATCTAATTAAAAATTCAAACTTGAGAACAAAGAAACGCTATTTAACATAAATTTACTAACGTTGTATAATCGCTAAAATTCTTACAGACATGTCAAAATTCAATAAACAACAAAAACGTATAAAACTGGAAGCAGTTTGGTCCAATTAAACTTTATTAGACAATCGTATGGGTGATGAATCTGTTCATAGCCAAAATTCAGGCAATTAGGTATCAAAATAAACATTATACGTGAAGTTTTCCAAAAAGTCAAAAAATGCTATATATTTCCATAACGCAATATAAAAACTGAATACTGGATAACACCTAATAATTTACCTTGAACGCCGTCAGCGACAGTAATAGTTTTTGAATGCTCCCTCCGCCAAGTGATCTGAGGCTGTGGAGAACCAGTCGCTGCACAAGTAAGACTTACAGATGCACCTTCACGGACAGTCTGGTCGGTACTTGTTCCGCGATCTAAAATGTCTGGTGGCACTAAAGACAAAGTATAAATAGATCATACCGTGTGAAGGCACTATTTTGTTTGACAGTGCTGCCAAACTTTAGCTAAAAAATGAATATAAGTAAGTCATTATAACAAGGTCATGTTGAAAGTTTCGTGGATAAAATTGTTAATCTGGTAATATGAACTAAAGCCAAGGCCTCGAAGGCTGTTACTTTTATTTCGTGGTGTTGGAAAAATCTACGCTTATGTGTCTTTAAGTGTTTCTTGGCGCAACTATAATTTTAATCTTAATTTATTTAATAACTGACATTAATGCCAATTTAAAATTATTAATCGGTCACGAAAACAATAGGACTAATAATAATGTAAATTTTAATAATATTTAAAATATTTTTCAAACAGCCATGACTTCAATATTGTGATAATAGAGAATAGGGTATTGTAGTAAGGGAGCTGTTATTAGCTCGACATTGTAGCTTCAGACTTGTTTAAAAATTTCAAAGAAAAAATTCTTTTACGTATATGCTGTAACGTATGTATAATGCTTGACTGTCTTTATTTACTATATGCATTTGTAAGATTTTAATCAGTATTCACAGCTCTTTTTCTTATATCTGTATCAAATGTAAGTTACGTTACTAAAAGTACAAATCGTTTTACTAAAAGTCCATTAACTTCTTTGTTTTTAATAGGTTAAAATATTTTTCTTTAAGTTATATATTATTACAAATAAGTATTTACTAATAATATATAACAAATACCGTATACATTAATTCCGCCATGTTTAATAAGAATTAATAATATATAAAAAATTTGTTTCTGTTTTATATCAGTATTGCATTATTGACATACGTGTACAGACTATAAAACTTGAACGCAATAAAGCTACTAACTCACCGACAACATCTAAGTAGCCGAGCTGACTTTTCATTGGGTCGGTATTGATCTGACACATATACCACCCTCTGTCAGTCTCTCGTAACTCTCTAATATGTAGGAACCAGGTGCGATGATCGCTATGCGTTACGCCAACCCTTCGACTTCTTGAAATTACGTGCGTGTGTATGGTAAGTATTGTTTGGGTATCCACTCTGAGCCACGCGACCTTAAAACAATACACAAGTCTGTAAAATGGTTTCTAAGTACAGTTTTTAAAAGTAGAGTAAAATTATAGCCTGTATACGTCCCAGTGTTGTACACAGTTATTGAGCAGTTATTTTGCCGCGCTGCACCAGTTCGTGTAGGCGGACTTCACATGTCCTTAAAACATTTTCTTCGTCATACAAGTTTTCTCACGAGCGCATACATGGTAAGTTAATATTTAATTGAACTTATTTTCTTAGTGCAGGCAAGAATCGAACCTGGGTTGTTCGCTCGCTTACTGAAAAATTGATTCAGAGCCGTAGTAGCGCAAAGGTTAACGCTTATCAAAAATAGGCTTTTAAAATACACTGTAATCTAAATATATTGAAATTATTTGATGTTCGCTAGTCTCGCTAAAACTCAAGAACAGTTCGACCCATTTTGATAAAATTTCTCGAGTGTGTGTTGAATGGGTCCCTAGATGGTTTAGATTTACATTTAGACCTGGTGGATGGTGCTGTTGTCGAGATTCAAACATCACCCGTGTGAGGCTGGTGGATCACTAGTTTACAATAAAAGGTTGTAGTGGCGGTGTAAGAATATACACCACCCCTCACCATTCCGTAGGTGTCGTAAGACATCATAGAGGGAAACTGAACTAGATTATGGGCAGTAGCATTTTTCTGATGACAAATGAAAAAAGTTTCATCTTTGACTAGCAGTTTTTTTTTTGAGTTCGTTTTGTCTTCAATTTATTATACTGTATTTTATTTTTGCTACAAATAAATATAACTTCTTTCCTTCTTTTTAATTTTGATGAATTATAGGATAGGAGGAGTTATCTAGACATCTACATCTATCCTCGACTGTAACCAAAATGCAGATGTCGAGCGTGAGGACCAAGATGGAATGCTTTGTTTCCAGTAAAAAGGTCTACGGTTTTCTACACTCACCATTCAAAAAATAGCAGCGTTAAGCTGCTATTTTATGGTGGTATTCTGTGAGAGCATTGTCCCTCACTCCTCCACCCTGTCGAGCCGACCCGTTCGTGATACAACTATACTACTAATATAGCTGTAACACGGCTTTATTTCGTATAAAGAAGGAATATTCTACCATTTTCAATAAATGCAAACCTCACCCGCATTCGGTGCACGCACAACAAAAGAGGTATTGGGAACTGACAGATGGCAAAAACTCCAAATTTGTAAACCCTCACGAATGTGTGTATTCGTTACAAAATAGTAAGAGTTAGATATTGATGAATGACAATCAGTTAAAATAATGCATTAACCACGCCTTCTTAATTTAAAAGACAAATAGGACAAAATGTTTGAGATTTTTTTAATTATTTTTTCTACACCGTTTGTCTACATTACTTATTCTGATTATTTTGCACAGTACTATAGTGTATAATCTATTATATATATAATAAATCTGTCTGTAATATAGAAATAATTCTATCAAGCTAATTTTATTATGGTGGTGATTTGAATACTGTTGAAAGACGTATAACCATTTTTAAAAAAAAATTCTGTCTGTCTATTTGGGCTAATCTTTTGATTTTGATATGCAATATCGATTTTTTTAGTCCATAACTTTTTTACAACAAAGCTGAGTGTAAAAGTATACGGTTATTAAGGCCTTTAAAGTCAAATGAATAGGTCTTTAATATTTATCTAAACAATTTTCCCATACCGCACATAGCTTTCAAGATATAGCAAACGAATGACTTTAAAATAGTTTTTCGATAATTAAACCACTTGCTCAAAGAGTATACGCCAGGCAAAGTGGCAGATTGTACTCTTCGGACTTCTGTACAATTTGCCGAAGGGTATGTATGTGGTCTATGGTACTAAAACCTTTTCGGAAACCGGCTTATTCGGGAGGCTGGAAGTCGTCGAGTATGTGTGCGAGACGATTTTTAATGACACGAAAACAGCACGTACACGCAGCTCAGAAGGTAAATCGGTCTGTGGTTCCTCAAGAGAGCATTGTCGCCTTTCTTGAAGAACAAGACAACCGCACTTGTGCTCCACGCTTCCGGAGTGGTGCCACCATACAGGACGGAATTGAAGAGCTTTAAATACCGGTGTTCCGCCCACTTTCAAAAGCTCCGCTGTAATTCCATCTTCGCCCGGGGCCCTGCCGTTTTTAAGGTGCTGGAGAGCCATTCTAATCTCACTCAGACTGACGTCCGGGATATCATCGGAATAGTGTCGGATAAGACTTGCTCTTAGATCGTTACTCACACTTGCGTGTGGCTCCAATGATGATGTGTACAACTGCCCATAGAACCTCTCAATCTTTCTGAAAATCTCAGGTGTCCTGGAAACGATGCTGCCACACTCAGTCTTCAGCTTTGACAATTGGCAAAGACTTTAGAGCCCTAGTTCCGCTCGATCGCTTCTTCAATACGAGTAGTATTAAAGTTACGTAAGTCCTGCCGCATGCATTTGGAGATCCGTCTGTTTAGTTGCCTGTATGCTGTCAAATCTGCTGACGACTGCAGCTTTATCTCCCGTCTAACAGCCATGATATTAAGAGTTTGATCGGAGACTTTTTGTGTTCTTCTACAGCGGGTTTCACAGAACTTAGCTCCAACCGCATGAACAGTTTCCACGAGCTTGTCATTCATATCGTCCACTGCATTGCAATCTTCTAGGCACTGAAAGCGGTTTTATAACTTGAGCTGAAAGGTTTTGGGATTTTGGATTAGAGCGGGAGGGGGACAGAGCGTTGACTTCATTAGACGAGACCTCTCCAACTTAACTTTTAGGATCAGTGTGCCTGTAACCATTCGGTGATCGCTGGCAGTTTTTACCCTTACGATTACTGAGACATCACTGAACAGTTGCCATCTAGTCGTCATAATAAAGTCAATCTCATTTTTGTCGAACCGTCGGGGCACGACCAGGTCCACTTTCTGGAAGAAAGATTTGATCATAAAAATTCCCTCTTTCTCCATGAAGTCGGCCAGCTGCTGGCTCCATGGGTTCCGTTGCCCTATCACAAATTTTCCTAACTTCAGCTCACCGTTCTTTCTTGTGTCTAGTTTTGCTTTAAAGTTTTCCATGAACACCGTATAGTGAGTTTTGGAGGAATTCATGGCTCTAGAAATATCCTCATACATTTCCTCTACCTCCTCATTGGGATGTTCCGACGTAGGTGCGTAAACCTGTATGTCCATCAGCGATTACCGTTTGGTGATTCTGAGTATAAGGAACGAAACCCTCGTCGACACACTCCCAATTTTTATAACGTTGTTAACGAGAGACTTGTGGATGATAAATCCAATACCTCCTTGGGACGGATGGTCGCCCTCCGGTGATAGAACAAGTTGCCGGATTTAAGAATAACCGTGTCATCTCCCTCTCTTCCGACCTCGGATAATCCTATAATATTTCAGCGCAACTTGTCTATCTCTTCTTCGAGCTCCAGTATCTTCTCGTCAGTCCTCAGGGTGCGTGCGTTATATGTTACTAGGTTGAATCATCGTAGGTTGCAACCGAACCTCCACCGGAGATTCTTAGCACCCACTGCTCCGCTGTTACCATGGTCGCCACTGTAGCCAGGGATAGCGGACCGCCGGGGACTGGGGGCCGTTTCTTCGTTACTCTCATCATGGGGGTATATTGCCATAGTTGCCACGCTTGGCGAGTGGATTGGCAACCGCAATTTTCTATATTTTTGTACAGTTGCTGCCCATCTCCTACCTGTTTCTCTCTGTCGCCTTTTACAACACCCACGGGAAGATATGAAGTAGTGGATATTCTTGACCGCCACTACACGGCAAATGAAATTAAAAAATAATTTTTTTTAATTTCATTTGCTATTAAAATAGGAGGTTTTTTAATTTAAAATTTTAATTAAAAAATCTCCTATTTATTACAATGGTATTACAATTCTGTTCAATAAATCTGTGAAAAATCTGGCCTACACATTGACAGTACGCTGAATTGAAGAACTCAGGTTTCAGAAGTGAGTCTTAAAGTCACTGCCCACGTTACGTTCTCTGTATTTTTTAAAACATTTTCTTCCAGCAAAATAAGTGACAGAGGGAAACAACCCGTGATGTGAGCAGCAACATCTTCCTACAAAAAACTAGAAAAAAAATCTGCGATTTTCAAGTATGGCAATTGGCGAAAATCTCTCTTATGAGACAATCTATGGAGTGCCCTTCGTTCAGCTGTGGACTTTGACATTTATATAAATTAAGTATATTTTTTAATATATAATTTTTTAATTTCATTTCCAATTACACATATTTACATACAGAAACAAATATGATTACAATTAAATAAAGTAACAATAAGTCTAATAAAAATAACAAGCAATAATAAAAATTAAAACTATGTGCAATAATAGTGTAGAATCTACAAAAGAAAAATTGTAAAGTCACGTTTATAATATTAGCTACCTGCCTGAACGAGGTTGAGTACAGCTGTGTTTCAGACCATCACTTCTCTCACACAGCGTACTACCGGATGGCGAGAGCCCTCCGGATAGACGCTATAACCCATACTCCCCCTCTGTCTCGTCCCGACGGCTCCATTGCCTTCGAAGACGAAGAAAAGGCTGAGTGCTTCGCGGACAGCGTTGCCGCTCAATGCTCTCCTAGCTCACAACCCACTGACCCCTTACACATCCAACTAGTGGAGGACGAGGTCCGACGCAGGAACTCGCCCCCTACCGCCTCTGACCCTATCACTGTGTCCAAAGATGAGATTTCATCTATCATCAAAGGACTTAAGCCCAAAAAAGCACCGGGTGCGGATGGTATCTCTAACTAAGCCCTCAAACACTTCCCGGAGCAGGTAATCGCCTTACTGGCCATTATCTTTAACGCGTGCTTCGAATTCAGTTACTTTCCCACCTCTTGGAAAGAAGCAACTGTCATTGGCATTTCCAAGCCAGGCAAACCTCTCCACCTCCCCTCCAATCACCGTCCCATCAGCCTCCTCAAGGCCATGGGCAAACTTTTCGAACGAGTCATTCTCGTGCGCTTGAGGCGCCATTTGT